TTGGGGGAAATGACTAAATGCATCAGTATGGCATAGTAAGTAAGGACCAAAGAAAGGATGAGACCCTGTATCTCATTGTCAGTATGCTTACCTGGGGTAGCCTTCCTCCTCTCCATCTGATTTGCTTTTAAAATATGCTTATGAGGGAGTGCCTGGCTGCCTCAGTCAGAACTCATGAGTCTGAGACCCATGTTGGATGTAGAGATTAAATAAATAAATAAGCTTTAAAATCTGCTTATAAACTGGGCTCAGACATGTATCTTTGAAGGATGTGTGGAACATGAGTGAGCTCTGAGAGAAAGTGTGAGATGTTACCCTATCAACAGGGTATACAAGCTTCAATCATAGCCATGGTCCCAGCAGGAAAGAAAGCATACTCCAGAGTAAGGATAATTCAAGGAGGGTTTAATAATAGGACTATAAAGGTGATCATCACAAGGGAGAGTAGTATCCTGGGATTAGAAAGAACACTTCTAAACTGGAGGAACAAAGGAAATAAAAACTTTCCAAATCTAGGAGTGACTCGTAGAAAGAACCTCCTTTAGAGGAATAGCAATCTTCAAACAAGGGAGATGACCAGCCAGAAGCAATACCCATAAGAAGGGAGCAGGGAAATTAAAATTCCCTAACCTTAGATGGGAAGGAAGCTCTTGATGTAGTTCATATAGGTAAGTCCGCCTCCCAGGGCAGAGAACTGGCAACATATAGACAGTAGACCTAGAGGAGCAAATGGAAGGTACCTAATTCAACCTCCAGGAAGTCTCTCTGGTACACATTCACATCTCTTCTTTCATGCTAATGCGCAAACGCCAGATAAGGAAAGAATTACTGAACAAGACAATCCTCACCCCAGGTTATATTTATTTGAGAGAGAGAGTGAAAAACAGCATGAGAGGGGAGAGGGTCAGAGGGAGGCTCCCCACTGAGCCAGGAGCCTGATGTGGGACTCCATGTGGGACTGGATCCCAGGACTCCGGGATCATGACCCGAGCCGAAGGCAGTCGCTTAACCAACTGAGCTACCCAGGCACCCCAAAACTCACCCCTTTTGAATAGTAATGCACAGGGCCTATCTACCATATCTGTAATCAAGCTGTTCACTAGTAAGTATGGTCATTTACCATTTTACTTGTAACTGTTCAGAATTCTTTGAAGGGCCAATGGCATATACATTTCTCCACGTTTAAGGACTTCCCACTTACCTTGTTAGGCAAAGTAAGATCAAAAACATGCAGATACTATAACTATTAAGGAGCTTACATTTAGGAGTTTATATTCCTAGATAACTAAGAAGGCAGAATGAGCTAAGTGTCATGAAAGAGAAAAGAGCTGCAGTGCTGTGAAACGTTCTGGAATAGGCTTCCTTGCCATCTGGCCCCTGCCAGGAACAACTCCAGCCAGAACTCACTAACAAGGTATACAAGCTTTAATCAGGTTCCCTGCAGGTCCAGATCTGGAGAACTACACACTAAGCCCTCAAGAGAATCCAAGTATCTGCTCGGTACCTAAAGAGGTCCACCATTCTTCCTCCTGGAAAAAGCCCCTCTCCCTCTTAGGCCTGGTTCAAATGTCACCTCCTTTCCTAAACCTTACTTGGACCTTCAAAGAACAATTAGTTATTCTTACCCTGTATTCCCAAAAGACTTGCTTCCAGCACTTAAAGCACTTTATTATTATCTGCAAGGGTGCAGGGCCGCTACTACACTGTGAGATCTACACTGTGAGATCGTTAAGTCTTCCTTGTATCCTCAGGCACAAAATAGTGGGTCAAGCACAGTGTAAGTACTCTACATATATTATATACATTATTATATACATATTATCAATCATCACAAAACTGTAAATGGGGCAGGAACTCTCATCAACTCAATTTTTTTTTTTTTTTAAGATTTTATTTATTTATTTGAGAGAGAGAGAATGAGAGATAGAGAGCACGAGAGGGAACAGGGTCAGAGGGAGAAGCAGACTCCCTGCCGAGCAGGGAGCCCGATGCGGGACTCGATCCCGGGACTCCAGGACCATGACCTGAGCTGAAGGCAGTCGCCCAACCAACTGAGCCACCCAGGCGCCCTCATCAACTCAATTTTAACAGATGAGGAAAATAAAGTGCCCAGAAAAGTTAAGTAATATGCCCAAAGTCTCAAAGTTAGCAGGACTGGAACCCAAGATTTCAACCTAGGCACAACTCCAGAAGTGAATCCTAATAGACCTCATGGGTTGAAAAGGTCCCAGTAAAAGTAAATGGTCCCCACCCCCAAGATGCAGTTATTATTCACACCAAGGTATGAAAAGACAATATTGGGCGCCTGGGTGGCTCAGTTGGTTAAGCGACTGCCTTCGGCTCAGGTCATGATCCTGGAGTCCCAGGATCAAGTCCCGCATCGGGCTCCCTGCTGCTCAGCGGGGAGACGTCTCCCTCTGACCCTCCCCCCTCTCATGTGCTCCCTCTCTCTCTCATTCTCGATCTCTCAAATAAATAAAATCTTTTAAAAAAAAGAAAAGACAATATTGGAACTTCTACGTGTATTTGTTTTAGTTCATCCTTTGCAAAATGTCCGTTTTTGCATGTTATAAAATGTACATAACATAGACTACAGTTACCACTGTAATGGTAACATAAAAAATTCACATGCGTGCACACTCAACCCTATCTACTGTTCTTATACGAAAAACATTTGAAGCCAATGCTGTAGACGACTTCCCCCAAGGACTCTGAGCTCCTCCACTCTCTGCCCAGCACTTCAGTTAAACACATTAACCAATCAAGACTACAGGTAAGCTCCAAGAGGCAAGAATCTGCTTTATTCATCTTTGTAAGCCCTACAATAGCACAGGGCCTGGTGCTTAGCAGATGGTCAATGCTGAATCTAACTGTATCATGGAAACGTCACTGAAAAAATCCTCTCAATATTTTAATGCAACATACTATATATGCCTCCAGATTAGAAGAAAAAGTGTACTAAGCATGCTAAAAATGTAATATAGAATTCTATTAGGAACACTAAAATAAATAAATAAATCTGTTACATAACAGAACCAAAAACTGTACTTTGGGGGTATATTTTAAACCAAAAATTGCATAAAACAGATTTGGACATAAAAAACTTTAGTTTAAAAGTCCTTTCTTTTGAGGCGCCTGGGTGGCTCAGTCGTTAAGCATCTGTCTTCGGCTCAGGTCATGATCCCAGGGTCCTGGGATCGAGCCCCGCATCGGGCTCCCTGCTCCGCGGGAAGCCTGCTTCTCCCTCTCCCACTCCCCCTGCTTGTGTTCCCTCTCTCGCCTGTGTCTCTCTCTGTCAAATAAATAAAATCTTTAAAAAAAAAAGTTCTTTCTTTTACAGAGATGGTGCATCTTAGACCTAAAGGGTTACCCCTGCCTCTCTTTTGTTAGAAGCTCCAAGAGGAAAGGCTCAAAATATCAAAAGCAGCAACTGCAGGCTTGATATGAAGAGGCATTGCTAGATGCACCTACTTTGCATTTCTTCAATCCAACTTTTAATGAGTGTCGAAGAAGAGAGGCCATGTAAAGCCTCCCTTTTTTTTTTTAATTCTACATTGTGCAAATTTATTTATTTATTTTTAAGATTTTATTTATTCATTTGCGAGAGAGACACAGCGAGAGAGGGAACACAAGCAGGGGAGTGGGAGAGGGAGAAGCAGGCTTCCCGCGGAGCAGGGAGCCCGATGCGGGGCTCGATCCCAGGACCCTGGGACCACGACCCGAGCCAAAGGCAGACGCTCAACAACTGAGCCACCCAGGCGCCCTAAAGCCTCCCTTTTATATGAAAGCCTGAGGGCTCTGAGGCTAGATCGGTGTTCCTCAGTTTCATCTGCTGCAAAATGGGCATATTCAAATACTAAACTCTTATTTACACTATCACCAGGATTAAATGAAGAGAAAACAAGCAAAATGGTCTTATGTTTCCTCATTTACTTTGTCTCCCCCCCTCCCCAAACCAAACTCAAAGACTGAGTTTGGTCTAACCATTTTTTTGGCTATATCCCCAGGATCGAGAATGGTACTTTTTACTTAATAAATGATTTAATAAATATTGAATGAATAGAATGCAAAATGCCTGCTGTTCAAAAAATGTTGACTATGACTGTCATTGTAACAATAAACAATTAAAATTTTATTGTTGTTATTAAGAGATACCACCCCCCTCCCCAAAGGATCTCAAAATTCTAGGAGGAACACTAGACAAATACGGGAATAAAGAAATGGAGGTAAGAAAAACAACTGGATCATAAAGCAGGGCTAACCGAAGACAACATCTTAAACAAATACACAACCAGAGCCCAATTTCGGGCTTTTCCGAGGGAGGTTCACCCCGAATGAGGTTTATCAGCGATTCCAGTAATTACAGTTTTCACGCTTCTGTATGTCCCAGTTTGTGCCAAGCATTCCACTGGCCCCACAAAACCCAAGAACCCTGGCGGGGGATATGGGGGTGGAAATGCTCTTCACACCCCCATTTGGCAGAAGGAACTGAGGCTCGGAAAGACCCAAGGTCACATCCCCTAAGCAAGGGAGCCAGAATACGAACCCAGGCACTCTGACCCCTGAGCCTGCACTCAACAGGCCCCCTCAAAGAGGCCATCCTCGCCTCCTCCACAATCCACCACACACCCCTTGAAATTGGGCGTGTGTAATACTTCCCCAGGAGCCGGACTTAGTGACCCCAGCGCCGGGAGAACAAAACAATCCTTGTCCGCCGGTAAGTCGGACGGACGCCGGCCGGGCCTGGGCTCCGAGGCCGCGGTCCCCACAGCTTCGCTCACATCGCTAGCCCCGAGCCCTCCGGCGGGCGCATGAAGCCCGGACGGTCTCGAGAACGCGGGAAGGCCCGGCCCGCCGCGTGACCTTGGATCTGCCGCCTGCTTCAGGCCTCAGTTTCCCCAACCCCGCCTCGCGCCGGGGGCCTCTCGGGAGCTCGCGCCCGTGGAGCAGAAGGCCCCTCACACGCCCCCCTCAGCCTCCCGCCTTCCCGCCCTGCTTACGCTGGAAGGCGGCCGCTCCAGGGACGCCCACCATCGCCAAGGGCCTCCGCCGTGCGCCTCCTGCCTCCACCCGCGGCCCGGACCGCTCGCAGGCGCCGCCGCGGGACTTAAAGCCGCGACGGTCGACAGCCCCAGCACCGCCGCTGCAGCAGCCGCCAACGCCGCCGTTAGGCCGCGCGCCGCCCCGCCCCCCGGTTGGCTCCGCCCCGCCCGCCGGGCACGCCCCCGCCGCGCGCCCTCGCCCGCCGGACAAACGCACGCGGAAGCCAGGCCCCAAGGCCTGCTCCAGCTAAGCCCCGCCCCCTGACCTGCCACGCCCCTTCCGCGCGAACCTGAGGCCCTATCCAGGCGCATCCAGCTTCTCAGACCCGCCCCTACTGTGTCACGCGCGCCCATCACGCGCCAGGCCCACGCGTCTGGCACTGGGCTTCCGGCTGTGGCCAGGGCAGGGACCCAGGCCTAGAGGAGGAGGTGAGGCCTTAGAGGGTGGAGCTTAGGGGGGGAGGGGACAGCGCCGCACCTGAGTTCTCCAGGTTAGGGCTTGGTTGCCCAAACCGTGTCGTTGGGTAAGTCACTTCCCCCTTTTAGCCTACCCTGTGCCAAATGTCTAAAATGTCGTCATCATGGTATTGATAACAGTTATCATTTCTATTACTGAGCTCTTTATCATTTTCAGGTGTTTACATACACTCATCCATTTAATCCTCACAATGAGGGAGAGAGGTATTATTTTCCCTTTTTTATACATGCAGAAAGGGCTTTCCCACCAACCAGCTTGCCCACTGCTTACTGTTAGCATGAAGCAGAGATGGGATTGGAGCCTAGAAATTTCAGACTTCAGATCCAGTACTTTGAGCTACCCTGAACTATTCTGCCTCCCAAAGACTCAAAAACAAGAATTAAAATTGAAACGAGATTAAAAATTACAAACTTCAGGGCATTTGGCTGGCTCAGAGCATGCAGCCTTGATCTCAGGGTCGTGAGTCCAAACGCCGTATTGGGCATGGAGCCTATTTTAAAAATAAATACATAAATAGGGGCGCCTGAGTGGCTCAGTCGTTGAGCGTCTGCCTTCGGGTCAGGAAATGATCCCAGGGTTCTGGGATCGAGCCCCGCATCGGGCTCCCGGCTCTGCGGGAAGCCTGCTTCTCCCTTTCACACTCCCCCTGCTTGTGTTCCCTCTCTCCTTGTGTCTCTCTCTGTCAAATAAATAAATAAAATCTTTAAAAAAAAATAAAAATAGGGGCGCCTGGGTGGCTCAGTCGGTTAAGGGGTTGCCTTCGGCTCAGGTCATGATCCTGGGGTACTGGGATCGAGCCCCACGTCCGGCTCCGTGCTCGGCGGAGAGCCTGCTTCTCCCTCTCCCTCTGCCTGCCACTCTGCCTACTTGTGATCTCTATCTCTGTCAAATAAATAAAATCTTTAAAAAAAAAAATTAAAGGGCGCCTGGGTGGCTGGCTCAGTTGGTTGAGCGACTGCCTTCGGCTCAGGTCATGATCCTGGAGTCCCAGGATCGAGTCTCACATCGGGCTCCCCGTTCGGCGGAGAGTCAGCTTCTCCCTCTGACCCCTCTTCCCTCTCATGCTCTCTGTCTCTCATTCTCTCTCTCTCAAATAAATAAATAAAATCTTAAAAAAAAATAAAATAATTTTAAAAATTAAAAAAATAAAAATAAATACATAAATAAAAATAAATTTAAAAAAAATTCCACACTCCTCTGTATACAAAAACACAATAAACAAAGTTCTTTTAACTTTGCTTTCTTTTATAAGCAGAAGACAGGGATAAAATATCTGCAACATATTCAACAAAGGATCAATATTCACAGTAAATGGGGCGCCTGGGAGGCTCAGTTGGTTGAGCATCGGCCTTCAGCTGGGGTCATGATCCCAGGGTCCTGGGATGGAGCCCCGCATCAAGCTCCCTGCTCCAACGGGAGCCTACTTCTCCCTCTCCCTCTGTTACTCCTCCTGCTTGTTCTCTCTCTCTC